CATCGAGAACCTCACAGCGCAGGGGCACAAAGCTGGCCACGTGCTCGAAGGCAGACAAATCTACTTGACGGTGCTGCAGTCCTACAAGGCAACCGCGGCCGATGACACCCTGCACGACTTTGAGCGTCTGCAGCTACTACGCATGCGCGACGACGACCTCCAACGGTTCATGGTGGACTGGGGCATTCTATGATTGGAATGCCGCGAACCACCCGACACGAAGGTATTGGAGTCATTATTCCGAGCTCAGATACGACGACATTACCGGGTAAAGCAGGCTGTACACGACTACAACAAAATGGGCCCCGCCGACCCCAATAGAACGTGCGAGTGGCGTCGGCAGCGCGTCTTGGGCAACCTCGAACTCCACCGACTTGAGCGCAGCCAGTGCAATCTCAATAAATATTCCAGCAGACACGAGTGATTTGTGCAGCGCTCAAATCTGGAAGGCGCAAGAAGGGGCGAAGGTGCAGCGTGTTCCATGCAGGCTCTAGCAGTCGTCCGACTACGGGACCCACTCAACGATCATCTACCCGTGACAGGGTCCACCACGACAGACGGTCTTCTGCTGTCCGCTGTGCTGGGCCAGCGACGAAAGACAAACGTCGGCAGAATTTCTGTTTGTTTTCGCCAAGATTGGATCCACATACGGGCGTGCACCTTTTTCGCAGATCAGAAGCAAAACTGCAAGCGCGGCGACCGGCGCCGCAACGCTCACACCAAACCCAATGCTAAGACTCCTGGCCGGGGCCCTGTTCGGCAGCGCAGCAACGACAGCCGAAACGGGACGCCCTCCCCGCGACGTGTGGGGGGCAGGAGGCCGTCGCCTTGCAAGAACCGACAGTGCTCCCGCAGTCCGCGGGCCACGCGTTGGTCGCAACGAGGGTCGCCGATGTCACGACGCGGGGGGCGCTCCGACTCGCGATCTCCCAGGGTCGCGGCTGGTCCCCCCGCTCTCCGCAATGTTCGCGTTCGTCGTCTAGGCTTTCCCACCGGGAATTTTCCCGTGGCCGCTCTCCTACCAGGAGCGACAGGACTAGCAGCCGTTCTCCATCCAGACATCGCAGCCGCTCGCCGTCTACTCGCGATCGCGTTCGGTCGCCTGCTGCAGGCCGATGCGATCGACGACGTGATCGCGCCGCGGTTTTTCGCGAGCGGATCATGATCCTGTCCGACTCGGCGAGGCGTTGACTTTGGCAACGTGGACATTACTACATACACAGTATAACACGAAATGTTTAATTTGACGGAATCATCATATTGCAGACGTGACATGGTCGACGCCCCTGACGTCTAACCTGCGTGGTGGTCACAGGCCAGTGCGCGTGCGCTCCAAATCGCAGGAGGATGCACAGCGGTTGTACGACGACCTCAATCCATCGCCTTCTGCAACCTCCGCGTCGGTGGCAACGCCTACACCGACGACCCCGCGGTCTACGGCAGCGCTGTCACGCGCGTGGATTTTGGACAGCGGCTCTGCCCATCATGTCCAAGACAAGTCCGACCTACTACTGCACGAGACCACCCGAGTGCAGCAAGGGCGAGAACGCATCCTCGAGACAGCCAACGGCGACCGAGTCGTCAACGGGCATATCAAGCTCACTCTTCCGCAGATAGGCCTCTCCAGTTCGGCCCTGGCTATGACGGATTGCGCTTCGCCACTATTCGTGGGACAATTGTTTCAGGAATCTGGTTTCAGACAGTTTTGGGATCCTTATCTTGGTTGCCTACTACAAGACCCCCGTGGTCAATTGCACTGACAACCGAATCCCGGAGCTCGGCGCCCACGACCTGCAGTAGATTCCGCCTCCTGACCTACACATCTCATTTCGTGCATCACGATGCTCTTCATCGTTTCTGGCGCCCACTACGCACGAGGACCCGACAGCGCCGGTGGCAACGCCAGCACCGACGCTGCAGACATCCACGTGCGACCAACAACAGGCTCCGACGGCTGAGCCAGTGGTCGCACCTGCATTGCCAGGTAGACCACGGCCTCCCATCGATCCTTCGCACTACATCACACAACCCTAAGCATCCAGATCGTGAGGTTTGTGCGCGGACCCTGGTACACAACATACCATGTCGGCGACAGCACCGACCTTATCCACCTCGTGACCCTACCGCCAATGACATTCAATATGAAGCATTTGTACCACAACGATTCGGCGAGGCTCTGACTGAAGACCACATCGCACTCGCGGCGGATGATGATGCAGCCGACAAGTGCGGAGACAAGTGCGCTCTGGTTGTGCTGGACAATTTTACGGGTACAATTCTGGCATACCCAGCGAAGCAGTGGCCCCACAGGGGGCTCCACCGAAGGCCCCAGTGGCACCGTTCGCATGCGTCACCGCCACCCACGACAGCGTTTCGTGGCGCCATAGGGAGCTCCACTGAAGGTCCCACTCGTGCCGTTCGCATGCGTCTCCCCCACCCAGGACAGCGCTTCGTGGCCACAGAAGGAACTCCTCCGAATGCCTCGGTGTCCCCCGCCCAGGTCAGCGTTTCGCGGCCCCGTAGGGATTTCCACCGAAAGCCTCATTGGCACCGTTCGCATGCGCCTTCCCCGCCCAGGACAGCGTTTCGTGGCCCCATAAGGAGCTCCACCGAAAGCCTCAGTGGCACCGTTCGCATGCGTCCCCCCGCCCAGGACAGTGTTTTGTGGCCCCACAGGGAGGTCCACATGATGTCCCTGTGGCGCCGTTCGCACGCGCCCCCCCAGCCCAGGGCAGCGCTCCGTTGCCCCACAATGACCTCCACCGAAAGCGGCAGCGGCGCAGTTCGCATGCGCCCCCCCCGCCCATGACAGCGTTTCGTGGCCCCGTAATTAGGAGCTCCAAAGAAAAAAAGGGCCCAATAGCGCCGTTCACACGCGCCTCCCGTGCCCAGTGCGACGTTTCGTGGCCCCATCGGGAGCTCCACCGAAGGTGCCAGTGGCGGTGTCGACATACGTCCGCGTCACCGACAACGGTACCGAAAGCGGTACCCACAATGCGGCACTCGCACCTGCATATGGTTGGTCAGGCTACATTTGTCAAGGCGCCGCCAGGCCTATCCCGCGACCGCGCTTGGGGTTTGATTTGAATGTTTATTTGGTACCTGGGTGGGTCTCTTGATATGCCTCTTGCATGATTCCTGGAAGGAGGTTGGACCCTCTGGGCCTTTTGCGGGCCTTTCTGGGCCCTCGTCTACCGCGCCTGTAGATCCCCCCCCAGAAACCGCACCATGATTCCCGAACAATTCCCCAGATCCCCCGGCGGCAGTTCAGCGTAGCCCCAAGGCAGCCCGCAAGGTTACCAATGCAGTTCGACCCAACGCGTGTCAATACAGCAGGCCCTTCTTGGGGGCCTCGTGGGGCCTCATTGAGACTTCTCGGGCCATCTTGAGGCCCTCCTGCGACGTCAGAGAGTCTTACGTGGCCGTCTTGTGCCATCTTGGGCCGTCGGAAACTGGCGAAGGCGACAGCGATCTACCGTTCGGTAGAGCATCATAAGTTTGTGGCCTCCTCGAAGCCCCTTGGGAACGCGCGGAAGGCTTCTTGTAGTGTCTTGGAGGCCTCTTGGATTTTGGGGAGGCCATCTTCAGCGGATCGTGTTCGGGCACTCGTGGACCTCTTTGACACCGTCTTTGGTTTATCTAACGCTATTTTGGATGCCTCTGGGGCTGCCTTCTACTTCTTGGATGCATCACGCATGGAGTATTAATATATGTGTGGTATCGCATGGTTAGCCAATACAGACTGGCTAGAACATGGAGATCCCGAGGCTTGAGCTGCTTCCCTTGTACGCTTCCAGGTTCCCCGCCTTGGGGGCCTCCGAGAGAGCCAAGAGGACCCCAAGATGACCTAAGAACGCTCGAAGAAGCCTAAGATAACTTCAAGTAGCCCCAAGAGGGTCCCAAAGAGCTCCAAAAGGGCACCAGACCCCCAAAAGGTTCCCAGGAGGCCAAATCCATACATTGTCCTTGGGCGTTTTAGCGGTTTGGGCGTCATCGCTTTTTCGGCATTCAACGCTCCAAGGCGGCCCGAGAGGTCCCCGTGACAGCACCAAGGCAGCCCACGAGGTCCCCGTGACGGCCCACGAGAGCGCCAAGACGGCCCAAGAGGCCGACAAGACGGCCAACGAGGCCCTCAAGACTGCTCCAAGAATGGGGAAGAGCGAGAATCCATACCGACATTTCGAGCCCAGACGCCAAGAGCCCTGGGGAGGCCCCCGAGGCGCCCCCGAGAAGTCCCAAGAGGGCACCAGGAGACCCCCAACAAAAACCGAAGAGGCGCTACCCCGCAGAAACCACCAAGATCCCTCCAATAACGTCCCCCAAAGGCATCCAGAGAGACTCCCAGCATGGTTTTGCCAGGCTCTTGGGGGCTCTCGGGCATCCCCCCCGAAGCCTCCTGGAAGTTACCTGCGGGCAGCTGCTCGGTGTATCTGCACAGAGCAGCAGGATCTCTTAGGGCCTGCTGATTCAGCGACTCCTGAAGCGTCCATCAGGAAGTACACTCTCGTATGCTGTTTCCTGCGGGATGATGTCCATCCTCATCCGATCATGTGAGGTTGGCTTGGGCTGCCCTAGAACCTCAGCGCGCGAAGCGCGCGTGGTTCTAGTATCTTTGTATATGTTCTCCCCTTTCTCGTTTCTATCTGTGTTCAGCTCTTTCTTGCGCATTCACGCGAACTTGTCTCAGGAATGGAGCACGTAGGCAGAGGTCCGGCAGTCGTCGGCTCCTCCGAGCCTCACCCTTCCATCCCGGATCATCCCTTTCCACTTCTCTTCCCCTTTGCACTCCTCCACCGTTTGCTCCCTCCTCGCCTCATTTCCCTCCATCCACCTCTCTCTGTCTCGATTTCTGTATTTCTCATGCGTTTTGATCAGAACCGTGCGTCCGCGCGGGCTACCGAATGGGTACCCAGTCACAAGCGTGCATGTTTCCATCCTGTCCGTTTTAATGTTTATTTGATTTCGTCTGGTGTTGTTATTGTGCTTGCCCGTGCTCTCAGTCCAAGCGCCAGCAACTTCAGAAAGCACAGGACTGCAGGGAGGTCGGCCGCTACGGTGGGGCATGCGGCTTCGAAGCTACCATGGTGTTTCCCACGAGGCTGGCGTACTCCGCAGCACTCTTCATTCTCCACTAAGTTTTCATACTTTTTCGCTTTTCGAGTTTCCATGCTTTGCATCTGAGTCTGCGACCAGCTGCAAACCCTATCCCTGCGGGTCTTCTCGACGCTGGAGTATCGGACACTCCAGTAGGGGTGCACTTGGCTGTAGACATCCTTCGGATTCCGAGACCCCGCTGGTGCTTTGAAAATCTGTCCCGCAGGGATAGGGTTCACATGCGGTTTCTTGATGAGGACATTGCATATCTAATTGAAGTCGCTCTTTGGTGCCCTCAGGTTCCACGATCGCTACGTCTAAGGGACCCACGGAGGGAATCTACGAGCTATGAGCCTGGTTCGCTAGATATTCGTCACAATCGCTTCACTTTCGTTCGCTTGGTTTCGCCCAGGTTCATGTTGCCTGAGTCTGAGGGTCGCTCCGTCAGGAATCCTCTTGCTCTTCCCCGCCAGGCGTTCCGCCTAGGACTTCCTCAAAACTTAGGGCCTTGTCTTTTGATATCCAGCTGTGTCTCGCAAGTCCGCTACCGAGCGCAGCATTCTGGGTGGCAGCTACACGAGAAGTCGATGGGGGCTTGCTCGGGTCCTCTTGGTGCCGAGGGCTCGGATTCTGGGTTTGTGTTCTTTGGGCCTTTCTGGGGCCGTTTTGGGGTCCTCTTGGGCAGTGGTGGGCCCCTCTTGTGCTGTCTTGCAGCCCTCCTGGGCCGTCTTGGGGCTCTCTTGGGGGCCCCTTGAGCCGTCGTAGAGCGGCGGAAGCTCCGAAAGGCGAGACCCCCGGAACCATTCAGAAACCACCCTTCGGGAAGTCAACAGGGTGCTGATGATGATGCTCATGATGATGCTGCTGATAATGATGCTGAGGCTGAGGCTGATGCTGATGCTGATGAGGCTGATGATGATGATGGTGATGATGATGACGATGATGATGGTGCTGATTATGCTGATGATGATGCTGGTTCTGCTGATGCTGACGATGATGATGATGATGATGATGATGATGATGATGATGATGATGATGATGATGATGATGATGATGATGATGCCGATGCTGATGCTGATGATGACGATGACGATGCTGATGCTGATGATGGTGATGCTGGTGCTGCTGCTGATGATGCTGGTGATAATGATGATGATGATGATGATGATGATGATGATGATGATGATGATGATGATGATGATGGTGATGATGCTTATGATAATGCTGATGCTGATGCTGATGCTGACGACGATGACGATGCTGATTATGCGGCTGATGATGGCGATGAATACGATGACGATGGTGATGGTGATGGTGACAATGATGGTGGTGGTGGTGGTGCTGCTGCTGGTAATGATGTTCATGCTGCTGTTGATGCTAATGATGATGCTGATGACGATGATGATGCTGATGATGATGCTGATGCTGCTGACTAGGATGATGCTGTGGATGATGGTGATGCTGGCGATAATGATTGTCGTGGTGCGTGGTGGTGGTGGTGATGACACTGAGGAGGACGAGGACGACCACGGCGACGACGATGATACTGATGACGATGATGAGGGTGATGATGATGATGATGATGATGCCGATGCCGATGATGATGATGATGATGATGATTCTGATGATGATGATGATGATGATGATGATGATGATGATGATGATGATGCCGATGGTGACCACGCCGACGAGGAGGAGTCTGATGATGCTGATGTTGATGCTGATGCTGATGGTGCTGATGGTGATGCAGATGATGATGATGATGGGCAGGACGACGACGATGATGAAGATATTGTGGCTGCTGCTGAGGATGATGATGCTCCTGACGGTAATGAAGGTGGTGGTGGTGATGATGACGGTGACGCCGACGATGGCGATGACGATGACGATGATGATAATGTTGATGATGGCGATGGTGTTGTGAAGATGGTGTCCTGCTGATGCTGATGGTGCTGATGATGCTGCTGATGATGGGTGAATGATTGGTGGATGGGCACGGTGATGCTGATGCTTCTGATACTGATAATGATGACGATGCTGATGATGCTGATGATGATGATGGTGATGGTGATGCGGATGACGATGCTGATGCTGATGATGATGTTGATGATGATGATAAAAAGTGATGCCGACGATGAGGCTGCTGCTGATGGATCTGATGCTAGTGATGATGATGATGATGATGACGCTGACGATGCTGATGCTGTGGATGCTGATGATGATGCTGATGATGACGATGCTGCTGATGCTGGTGATGCTGATGATGGTGCTGATGATGCTGATGCTGATGATGCTGATGCCGATGATGCTGCTGGTAATGATGCTGATGACGATTCTGATGGTGCTGACAATGCTGATGTGCTGATGATGAGGCTGATGGTATTGATGATGATGCTAATGATGCTGACGATGATGATGCTGATGATGATGATGCTAATGATGATGATGATGATGATGATGATGCTGATGATGATGATAATGATGACGTTGACGATGGTGATGATGATGATGATGATGATGATGATGCCGACGATGCTGCTGCTGATGATGCTGATGCTAGTGATGATGATGACGCTGACGATGCCGGTGATGCTGTGGATGCTGATGATGATGTTGATGATGACGAAACTGATGACGCTGGTGATGCTGTGGATGCTGATGATGATGCTGATGATGACGATGCTGATGATGCTGGTGATGACGCTTCTGATGGTGCTGATGGTGCTGATGGTGCTGATGATGAGGCTGATGGTGTAGATGATGATGATGATGCTAATAATGATGATGATGATGATGATGATGATGATGATGATGATGATGATGATGATGCTGATGATGATGATCATGATGATGATGATGATGATGATGATGATGACATTGACGATGATGATGATGATGATGACGATGCTGATGATGATGCTGATGCTGATGCTGATGCTGATGCTGATGCTGATGCCGACGATGATGCTGCTGCTGAGGATGCTGATGCTGGTGATGATGATGATGATGATGATGATGATGATGGTGACGATGTCGGTGATGGTGTGGTTTATGATGATGATGCTGATGATGGCGATGCTGATGATGCTGGTGATGCTGATGATGATGATGCTGATGATGCTGACGATGATGATGATGATGATGATGATGAGCTGGTGATGATGACGATGATGATGATGAGGATGATGAGGATGATGCTGATGATGATGATGATGACGATGATGATGATGCTGATGATGATGATGACATGATGATGATGATGACGATGATGATGATGATGATGATGATGATGATGATGATGATGATGATGAGATGATGATGGATGATGATGGATGATGATGATGATGATGATGATGATGAGATGATGATGAGGATGAGGATGAGGATGAGGATGATGATGATGATGATGATGCTGATGATGATGATGATGATGCTGATGCTGATGCTGATGATGATGTTGATGATGATGATGATGATGATGATGATGATGATGATGATGATGATGATGATGATGAAGATGATGAGGAGGAGACGGAGGAGGAGGAGGAGGAGGAGGAGGAGGAGGAGACGGAGGAGGAGGAGACGGAGGATGATGACGATGATGATGACGAGGAGGATACCGCATTGCACGGGCGAGCACCGCGCAGGTCTCCCGCGCCTGGCGAGCACAGCAGTGGGGGGGGGGCGGGAGGCCGACCCCCTCAGCCGCCAGCAAAAGTCGCTTGCCCCCACCAAGAGAATCGCGTGGCAGGCGCTGGCCCAGAAATTATGTAGAAGGGCTCAACGCCCAGAAATCATGAAGCAGGGCGCAGACAGTTTTGGCGGTGGCCGCTGCCTGCCACCCACACCCCCCAGGTTCGGAGGAGAGGGAGCTGGCACGGAGAGAGCCGCACCAGCCGCCTGCCATGAGGCAGAAGAAATCAAGCCCGACGGCCCGCGAACGGCACACACCAGGACCCGCCAAAGGGACGGTAACCTGGGGAGCCGACTGGCCTTGAAAAGGGTGCGAGCGGCGGGGAGAATGCCCAACGCCGCGGCGCTGCTGCGACGGCACGCGGGGAGCCGCTAAATGCAAGTAGTTGCCACGTGCATAGATGCACATAGCTCGCAAATAATGCCACGCAGATCAAGGCACCCACATGTCACGCAGATAAATGCCACACACATAGTGCCACTGAGAAACAGGTAGGCTCGGGGCAACCCCGGCAACGTCGACAGAGCTAGGGAAGAGACGACAACAGAGGGGCAGGAAGAACTTCGACAGCCCTGCTCGACCAAAGGCCATGTTAGGAAAGGGGGCCGCAAGGAAGTGAAGCGCTACGGGGAGCACACCTGGGCGGGTGCTCCACTCTCGTAGCACGAGTCCCCGCCGCCATCAGGTTGAACACAACTTTGGCTCTGCAAGAGCCTGACCCAGTGGGTCTCGGGGCCCCCGACGTGGAGGGGACGAGGGGTGGGGGATTCGCCTGGAATCCATTCTGTCCTCGCCCGCAGGATGAGAGCCCGCAAGAAGCTGGCGACGGTTACGCAAGGCGCTCTGGGACAAGCGATGGGTAGCCAAGGGCAGGCGATGCCTGGCCACCAGGAAGGGGCAATCAACGAGCAGGTGTCTTGCTGTGCCTGTGGTAAAGAACCAGCAAGAAACACACAAACAAACGTGGCCTGATGCAACGCCGAGCCTGTGACCCCTGGCGGCTGCAGCAGGGACAGGGCCTGCCGGCGGGAGGGCACAGGCAGGGACGGTCGTGGCCGCCAGCGCAGGACGAGCCTTGTGCTGGCCACGACCTTCCGTCTCTTGTTAGGCTGAAAAGCGGTCTCAAACTTATCTGTAATATGGAGGTCGGCGATGGCTTGGTCCTTATACATCGGGGCAGCGTCTCTGATCGACACAGTCGGCTCGACGCTGACCCGCGGGCGAACCTGGCGCGCGTTACCGTC